CAGTGTGGATGGCGCCACTCTTGTCGCAGAAGGATGGGGATAACGAAGACAAATTTTCAGTTTCGGTTTTTTGTTTTGTTTTTTGATAAATGGAAAAGGATTTGTTTCTTTGGGCTGTTAAACAAGATACATTATGATTGCAAGGCTGAATGAGGTGATCGAGAAATTGGCCAGTCGGAAGGGCGGAGGTCCATGTATAAACATACATATACGAGAAATAAGTTACAAGCATTTCTCATCTTGGTAGATCATTGCTGGTTTTCTCAAATGCGAATGCAAGATAAATGTCTGCCGAGCAAATGGTCAATTGACACGTTCCTCAGAATTTGTTCTTGGACAACATACTGGCTGCATCCCACTGATCCTCGTCCATAGCACTCTCATTTTTGTCGTCTACTACTTTCATTTTCTTCAGGAGAGTTGAGAATTCGGGGTCTTCCTGTTCTTCTTGAAATATTTCGTGGAATTCCTTCTTGTATACAAGGCTAAGGCCATACTCCTTTGTGAGACTGGCAAATGGTCGTTGGTCATGACCTTATGGGTGCCCTTATGAAGATAGCAACGCACCTTTCAAATTCGTTCCAGTACACTACATATTCTGGGACATCCTCTACCGCATCTCGTAGGTAGAACATATAGCGATGTCCATATAACGGGCCTTGAACATCATCGAAACGAATGCTGTAAACGGTATTTCCAAATGTTAATGTATCGGGATCAGTTTCCCGTGCCTCGGATAGACTAGAACTGTGAAGTAATAAACAGAGTGAGAGGAGTAATCGAGACTTGTGATGGATAAACTCACAACAGTACGTCGCAATTAGGGATAGTTCCCACGAATCTTCCGCCAACTCGTAGATACCTTGAGACGTTGTCAAGCATAGTGCGAACTTTGTCCTCCGTCTCGAATGCATAGTGCATACAGAACTGCATGGTGACGACGTCAAACAAGGGTCCTAGCTTTGAATCCGGTATTTCGCGTGATATAGGAAACTATTTCTCTAATATAAGATACTTCTTTGGTGATTAAAAGGTAAATATCAGGCTACTCACAGTATAGCAGTCTAACTGAGCAAATGTAGCTTCAAACGAGTCACCCTTCAGATCTCGCCATCGTTCCCTAGCTTGATTCACTGATACAGAGGCGACATCCAATGCGACATATTCTTTGATGCGAGCCTTTTGCCACTTTTGGAGGTCTCCGCCTTTTCCACAGCCAATGTCTAGTACTCTACCAGAGAGAAAACCAGAACGCATCGATTTTGCTCGCCAAGGTGATCTTGAGAGCGGCTCGGGAGTCATCTTTTGGAAAAGGACGGATTTAACCCAATTATTGAAGGCTTTCAGGCCGAAAATGGGTGACTCCCGTCGCGCATGCCGGCCGACTTCCGGCCGGGCGTTGTCTGGTTTGGAAGCAATGAGTCAGAAAAGGAACTTTTTTTTAAAAAAAAAATTGGGTATGTGCTTACAATGGTGTGCAACCATCATATTGTCCGTATCTCGTGGTCTTCTAGGAGACCGATGAACTGGATGTTCCTCCTCATCTCTTTTCCTTTTTCGAGTATGGTCCAGATCCATCTGGTTCTGGGAGTGGGTCCGTGGTGGGGGATATAGCCTTGAGCTAGCCGCTTGAGGTTGTGAGGGGGAATATGAGCCATCATCTTGCTCGTTCTGAGCGCTGCTGCGAGAAGCCAGGGCTCTTCGAAGTGAGTTACTTGGGTTTGAAAATGTCCATATATCTGCCTGTGTGAGGGGGATGAGCACATCTCGCGCCTGACTGATTCGTTGCGGGTTGTACGGAATCGGAGGTTGCTTCATTGGTTGTTGAAGAGGGGGCGGTGAGGATTTTGGGTTGATTTTTGATGGTCCGAGAGTCGAATGGTCTGTATTTGCAGATTTTCTGGTGGGAGAGGCAGGATTCATGAGCAAATCTAACGATAAAGCCT